TGTTGATTTTGTGAATAAAAATTAAATTTGCCAACCATCTAGTTATCCAATTTGAGTGAACTTTTTTTTTATTTTGTAGAGCTAAATGAGCTCTACACAATAAAAAAAGATTATTCGAATTGGATGACTAGATGGTTGGCATATTTAATTTCTATTCATAAAATCAATATTGTCTTGGAGGTTAATCATTTGGCCTAGATTAGAGTTAGTTTAGAGTTATAATAAGAGTATAGTTAGGCCAATCTATTTAATTCTGGCAAACAAATGATATTATGATATATTTATCATGTGATCATTAATTACTAGATTAACTGTTCTTCAAATGTTTTAAGTTTTCAACAAAAATCAAGATTTTTATATAATTATACATATTGCTAGAATTGTACTTAGTGATGCAAATAGCTTAGATCATGGCTAACACTAATCAGACAAAGCTAATCTTTTGTCTGAACTATTTACAAGCTAATCAACCCCAAGCCAAGCTAAGTTGCTACTCTAAGGATAAGATATAAGTTTTTTTATAATTCTCAATTTTATGCAATTGAATTTATATAGAAAATTTTTTACAAAATATAACTATCATTTATATTGTAGAAGGCTCTTCACAGAAAAAACTTTAAATACTACTCTATGTAAGTATATTTTACTTATAGATAGTTTTTAAGTAGAAAATAGTAGTGTATAGTAAAATGTAAACATTAAGGTTTCTATCAATTTACAGAAATTTTGGATAATTTTCTATATAATGAAACATTAGGATTTTAAAGTTGCTTGGATAAAACTTTATCCGAGCAATTAAATAAATTGTTAATTTCATCAAAGTCACAATGCTAGGTGAGTTTATTATTGGACTTATAGTAATATGATATAACCCTATTGGCTCGCAGCTCTATAATCAGCTCCGAAGTTTTAAGCCGAGCCGTTTTTAGAGCTGATGCTTTATTAGTAGGCCTGGAGCTGAGCCGTTAACTGGCTCGGCTTAGCTGTTTGGCGGCTTGAGCCGTTCGCATCACTAATTGTACTGTACGTACTATCTTCTATACTGTTTTTTTTTTTTACAGGATTGTACGTACGGTTCTAACAAAATCAAGATATTTATGGAATTGTATGTATGTATGTTCATTGAATATTTGGATACGTATCACTTCACCGACTCTCATTTCGTAGGCATAACCTGACAAAAATTCACCGACATGTTTATTTCACCGACAATTATTTCGCCGACAAGTTTATTTCACCGACAATTTGATTCACCGACGCTCATTTTATAGACAATTTTTTTTTTTATAAATTCCACTAACCTTAACTTTAATTCTAGCCTGACCCTAACGACAATGACCAGAATTATTTTGTCGGTGAAATAAGTTCGGTGAATTAAACTATCGGTGAAATAACATGTCGGTGAATTGTTGTCGGTAAAATTCGGTGAAGTGTGCTAAACCGGAATATTTTTTATATTACATAAGCTTATATTTAACGTGAACAAAATAATTTACTTTATTCAATTGATCCGAGATTATATATATATATGTATATATATAATTACGCGTGCTTTTCAAGTTTTTTTTTTCGAGAATAGTTTTTGGACAGCTAAAATCAAACATTCAAAATTGCTTGTTTGACGTGGCAGTTATAGTTGTTAAGCAAAAGTCGAAACCCTAACTCCGATTTTGGCTAAAAAAATGAAATTGCGAAACTGCGAAATGTGGTGAAACTGGAAAAATTAGAAATTGGCAAATCAATAAAAATAAAGGTTGTAAAAACTAGTAAATCTTAAAAAAAAATTTAAATTAGCCTTCCATCTTACTTAATACATTTTTCAATCATATGTAAAACACAATTAGAACGATAAGCAAAAAACCCCCAAAAAACCTTTATTAAAATTGAAAGTCGCAATTTTAACTTGAGTATTTGCTTGGCAATGTATATAGCCAACAATTAGAACGATAAGTAAAAAAAAAAAAAAAAAAATTTAAAAGTCACATGTTTAACTTCACGAAGTTACGCATATTTTTATTGGAGTTCCATTGAGGTTTCACGTTCCACCAGGGTTTCAATTGTTTCGTCTTTCATCTTTTTTGTGTTTAGATGTAGAATGTTATGCTTCATATATTACGAGAAAAGGAAATCTATCTTCAAATGTATTATCGGTATTAAAACTTCATTTAAAGAATTATTCTTATCGAAAAAATTTTTTCTTTATTAGTAATAAAGTTTCATTAAAAGGATTATTTTCGTCGAAAAAATTTTCTTTGAAAAAGTTATTAACCGATGTAGATTTCTCGTCAGAACTAATATCATCGTTTTATTGATGGGTAATCTATATTTTTAAAAATGATTAACGTCACATTTGCCTAAATTTTATATACTATACACAAATATGTTACTTTATACGCAGTTGTGACCTCAACAACCATACACACGTGTTTGCAAATTTAATATATTATACACCACTACTTTACTAAACCATACACCACTACTATTCGTATTACTCTTTTTGGGGTGATACTAGGGCAGTTTTTATAATGCTACATTGAGTAAACGTAAGATTTTAAATGCATTTGTTATTTTTTTTTTAAAGGTGCTCGATGTAATAATGAAAAAAAAACCACATAATCCCGTGACCCTGGGTATTACATTTTCTCAGAAAAAATTATTACATTTTAACATATAGATTTGCGATTATCCTAAAACCTATGAATAAGGAGTTTTCAAAGTAACATGCACATTATATTTTCCAAATTTTGACAATAGAATTTAGCATTAGGTAAAAAACTCTTAGTAATTAAAAGATAAACCCAAGTAGATTCAATCTTCATGATAGTCAAAAAAAAATTGTCAAGCCTAGCTACAACGTTGTGTGAAGCCGTCCTAATGAATATTATATGCTTGAATGATTGCATGTTGAGCAAAGTAAAAGTCCAGTTGGATAGGATCATTAAGATTTTGAGGGATTCGGGCAGGTGGCTTTAAATCATGGTAAAGACAGCGTAATGATATGTTAATGATGCATTGACCTTGCAAAATACTTAATGGAGCTCCTGTGCCATCTTGTGTACCGAATTCAAACTAATAATCATAATACATACATATGTAAACAAAAAAAAAACAAATTATTATAGTTTAACATCACCGAAGTTTTATATGGAATTGTATTTCTTGTCCTTCTATCTTCTATACAATAATGCCAAGCCTACAATGAGTTAGATTCTTCAGAATACTATACAAATAATATGATGATTACACTGTATAAATATAACCCACCCTCATCCGAACTGGCACTTGACCTTGGAGGGCAGGATCAATTTTTACAATAATACAATCTGCTTCTTTTCCACGGTTTTCATCACGTGTTCCTTTAAAGAAATAAAAATTAACATGATAACGCACAAGCAGTGCAATATATTATAACATTAATACTTGCTAGTAGCACCAAAGCTATAAATCTCAGCATTGGTAAAGGCAACGGCATTGCATTGGTACAATAACATCCTAGTAACTGCACCAATAACAACTTCGTGTGGCATTGAAGGGAATTCGTAGATTATTATTTTTCCATTCGTTCATTCCCAGCATCTATGGATGTTAAATTTTTCTACACGTTCTTCATAATCTTCTAGGGTGATACCCGTAGCAAGTACATACGGCAGGCTTAATATAAACAATTTATATTAGCAACTAGCTTAAAAGATACAAACATCAACAGTAAAACTTACGTTACTTCATCCCATCTCACTTTTTCATTAAATTCTCCCTTATCCCACCACAGGTTTCGATAATAGTTGCAGACTGACATTCTTTCTGGACTTTCTGGAACTGCATCAGTATTATCCCTAAGAATATTTCTGAAAAGTTCTAATAGAAGGAATATAAATAGGATTATTCTTTGTAAATAGAGGGAGGTTCTTCTTTTGCTCAATTGGAATAGAGCATAGGTTAATTAGTATTTTAGAGGATTCTTTG